AATCTTGATTTAAGGCAAATGGAAGTATCTTATGGATCATATGAATCTTGGAAGATTGTTTCATGGGCTAGCTCTAAAGAATAATATAACAATCAAAAGTGTTTTTACGCTCACCATACTGATGATGCTGAGATGCGAAAATAATTAATGATTCATTCTTTTTAGTATAGGCGAATAACCGCTATTCAATGTCTTAAGACTCATGCATGGGGGATATTTTGAGAGCTAATGTAGGTGTTTTGATAAAGAGGGGGAAAATTCAAGATCCGCAAAGAAAATGAAAGAAATCTATATATTAAAAAATATAAAAAATCTATCATTTGGTCCCTAAAATTATAAAAATGAAATTATAAAATGAATGTTGATAATAATTAATGGAGATTTATGTGAATTTCGCAAATATTATTTATCATGTATCTGTTAAGAATATCATAATATCATTTTTTTTAATCAATTTTAAATCTAATCCTATCAAAAGAAAGAATAATGGAAGACTTTAAGAAAAATAAGGAAATTTCTAGTAAATTTAAAAAACATAATTTTAGGAGTAAGCAAAATTCGATTTGATTCAAAAAATTGATTCTATCGATTTGACTTGATTCGAAAAACTCAACTTGAATTGAAAAAATATTAAGTTTAAATTGAGTTGTAAAATACAACTTGAATAACTCAAATAGTAATTCGTATAACCCCAAATTTTTTTATAATTAGTATATTGATTTTTAAATTTAAGTCGTCTTCTGATTCTGTATGATATATATATATCATACATAAAAAATATGAAAAAATATATATGTATTATATAGCTATAAAAAGTTATTTAAATTGAAATAAAATAATATCATAATATTGTTAATATTTATCATTAATTAAATAGAAATTTGAAAATTTGATTTGACTCGAACGAACTCGACTTGAAAAATTTTCAAGTCAACTTCGAGTTGTTAAATAAAATTCATCATCTCAAATAACTCAAATTTTTTACTCGACTCGATATGACTCGATCAAACAATCACTCTTCCATAATATAAAAAATATATAGAAAAAACAAACAAAGATGATCGTCTTAACAAACCAACTAAATATACTTTTACTTTCTTTAACGTGATAATATAATTAAAATCTGATTGAGTCATTAAAAATAATATTCAATAAATCAAGATTTGGCATGGATATTATTTGAGATACAGATTTATTTCCTTTTAAAGTAGCTTCCCTCCATCCATAATCTGTAGCTCTTTTAGTACTAACTATTCATAATCATCATCTCCTGATATAAATTAACAGAACAGAAAAGCCACACACAAAAAACCAATTTCATAGAAAAAAGGGGGAAAAAACAAATTGTTGTTTATAAGAAAAACAGAAGCAATCCGTAATGACCGTAGACGCGGCCAAAGCAAAATCCACGTAAGAACGGCAAGAAAACACCCATTGAGGGAACTCCGAAGCAAGAGGTTTGGACGACACAGCTGGAGACAGGCTGTCACCCAACGAAGTCCCACTCACCTATTCCCCAAAACTACGTTTTTCCTCTCTCTCTCTCTCTCTCTCTCTCTCGATTCTTGATTTCTACATTGCAAACAGTTATAGGGTTTCTCGATCCCTTTTCTTCGATTCTCCGTCTCGTTTACCGACCTCGGCGGATCAAGATTCTTCTCTTAGTAAGCTCTTCGTCGGTCAATCTTTTACCTCATTCTTGTGTGTTTTTTTTACTTTCCCCCTTGTTTGGTATTGTTGCGAATATCTTTTTTTTAATAATTTTTTATGATATCCGATGGCATTTTAGCATAATGATTGTACTGCATGCACTATCGATGACGATGAATTTTAGGAAGTTCAATTATTATTTTTGTTCATATGTATATTTTCAAGATGCCTAGATTTGTCTAATTGATTGGCTGGAGTTTGTATTTTTTTAATTTTAATAATTTATAGTTAATGATAGGGAAATTTAAAAAAAAAAATTATAGATTTTGCAACGTTTGTTAATTATTTTATAACTAGAGGAAATCATGCTTATTTCTCCAATGATAGTGCAGGAAAAAAGCTTCCCCCCCCCTTGATTTTGTTTAAGATCAAATTAATTGAAAATTTAGGGGAATTGATTGGATTCTCAATGAGGTTTTAGGTCATCAGTTTTATTATTTGTAGACTATAATTAATTAAGCATAATGATAATTCTCTCTTAGTTTCATAATTCATTTATTTGACAGTTTTGACTAATATTCTTGTGTCACAAGTGACAATACGGGCAGCGCTGACGTTATTTTTGTCCATCTTTGCTTATTGTTGGCATTGTGATTAAAGCATATCTGGATGTTTTATTTCAACACCTGCCTATGATCTGTTATGGTTTGATTCATTTGGTCAGATATTGCTTATTAGGGAGCAACTTATTGCCAATCTCCAAATGATTTGAAGTGTTGAGTTTGATTTGCTAATCATGTAAAGAGCTTTGTCTTGCTTAGATGGAAATTATTTGCTGAAATGTTTAACATCTTATTTGTACCTCATATTTTTTTGATAGGAATTGCAGGCCTCATTAAAAACCCCCTTCTTGATTAATGGAGCTTGAAAGAAAGCTCCTTAATCAGCGGAAGGAGGAAAAGAGTGCCTTAGACATTTTATTAATCAGAAGAAATTACATAAGATTTAACAACTAGTCCATAATGGATTACATAAAACTTAACAACTTCACTAACAACCAAAACCCTATAACTCGAACAAGAAGATCCATTGATAAGACCTAACAATCAACCAATCCCTGACTTTGCTAAACTGTCTGCCTCTCCATTACATGCCCTTGGAATCCACCTAACCGAATGCACCCTATCCGAGATGAGTACTGAGATCGCTTTAACTAATTGCAAAGTAAAAACAGGAGCCAAAGCCGGGAACTGAATCCAATCCACTGCAGACTTACAGTCACTCTCCACAATCAACCTACCAACAGAAACCCAAACTGAAGACAAAAAGATTTCAATGCCTCTCTTTATAGCCTTTAACTCAACAACCGGCGGGGGACCTTGACCTACATTTTCTGAAAAAGTCAGAAGAGTGGTGCTATTGTAGTCTCTTAAAATACCTCCTATACATCCATCCTTGCCATTGAGTCTAGCAGCTCCATCAACATTCATCTTCAAAAAATCAACAGGGGGTGGGTGCCAGCGAAACAGCTGAAAATCCTTAGGTTTATGAACTGAAAAACCATCTGCAAGAGATGGGTCACCAATCAGCACATCCTCCTGTATAGGAAACTTAGGATACTTGGCTAAAAACCATTTAGATAACCTGAATCTAGTAACAAAAAACAGAGCCATCCTGTCAAGGGGAGAACCTTCGAACACCATTGCATTCCTAATTTTCCAAATAGACCAAAATACTACTCCCGGAATAAATTTCCAAATCAACGAATTCCCCCTCAACTCACCCCAGGAGCTAAGCAGAGAAGGAGGGTTCTTAGGAAGTACTAAAGCTATATCCCAAAAGCTTGCCATTTTATTCCACAATTCCCAAGCTACATAACACGAAATAAATAAGTGTTGCACTGATTCCACTTGTTTCTTACACAACGGACAAAGAATGTCAACCCCTAGCTGCATTCCTCTGTTCACCAACTCTTCTCTTACTGCCACTTTCTGATGAGCTAGCTGCCACAAAAAAATTTCAACACAAGGAGGAGATACACCCAACCACACCCCTTTCAACCACAAATCCGAACCCCCAGACCCTTTCCCAATTGCATTTCTGCAAGACTTGACTGAAAACAGCCCATCACCACTTACAGACCAAGATAGAAAATCTTCTACTGAATCAGATAGTTTAACATCCTTCAGTTTTGTCATCAATTCCAACCACTGATCCAATTCCCAATCACACAAATTCCTTCTAGTTTGGATGTTCCATACCCAACCGTTCGAATCAAAACTGCCAAACTCCTCAACCTTACCCCATTTGCTTGTAGAAAGCGCAAACATCCTAGGAAATTGATTTTTTAAAGGAACCTCATCAACCCATTGATCTGACCAAAATGAATTTGTACCTCATATTTATATTAATATATTATCTTCTGCTCAATCGTTGTTACTTTTTCTTTGATGATGTGAAAACTAATGGCCTCTCGTGTTTTCTGTTGTCTCAATGTTTAATTAAGATGGAATGTAAGAATATTTTCCGAATGACATGAGACAAATAGTGATGCACATGACATCAAACAGTTGTGTCTTTTTGTAAATGAGACTGTCATTGCTGTTGGTTTATATGGAGTGAGTCTGCACCACCAAAACTTGATATATCTGCTGCATATTCTGAGTAAAAAGAACCATCTGAGTGACATGAGACATAAATAGTGATGCACATGACATCATATTCTTTTTGAAAATGAGACTGTTATTGCTGTTGGTTTACATGGGGTGAGTCTGCACCAGCAAAACTTGATATATCTTCTGTATGTTCTGAGTAATCTATTTGATATGTTTATTTCCATACGCATTTAAACACGGATGGTTCTTTTTACTAGAATCTGTCTATTAGATGATTGTCATAAAAATGTTCTGGCTTGCTTTGTGATATTTGGTCATATGCATAAAAAAATGTTCTGTTTTAATAATAAGTTCCTATAAAATTGGAGGTCTAGAACATTTTTCACTTTTTCTTTTATCAGAGTAGGTGTGGGGCACAAAGCGGTGGTTTTTATTAAACTGTCATGCATGCTATAGAAATCTTTGTTCTTTTGTTATAAGAGTTTTCTTCATGATATTTTTGGTTAATTGTTGATTTGTTCCCTTTACTCTGCAGGTTCTTGGACAAATAATTGAAGTTTGAGCTAATCCTTCAAGTTAGTGGTTGAAACAGCAGTCTAAATTTAACATTTTTAAGTTTTGAATCAGTTTTTTGCATTAAATACATGAATATGGTAGGCAGGCAAGAAGATACGAGTTAATTAATGATGCCAGCTTAATCATCTTTGCACATAGTTCCAGTAATAATTCCTTGATAGCCTCTAGATATAATTCTCAGAAGACTGTTTGTGCGCTATCAGAGGATCCTTTGTATCCATGCTGGCTGAGAGTATGCGTGGAATCTGTGTTTCGGGTAATGCCCCTGAAGAGATATTCCGCCGAAGCATTCGGTGTGTTGACAATTTGTCTAGTTGCTCTGTTGGTTCTTCTCGGTTTGGTGTGCATTGCATACTTGCTTTACGTGCGTTCACGCGTTCTTAGACAAGGATTCATTCAGCTTAGTTATTTCAATGGACCTTGCATCATCCGAATCACGTTCATTTTGTTCACCATCTGGTGGGGTTTTGGTGAAATTATACGGCTAAATTTTCTAAGACGACAAGGAAGAGTGTTTAATGCACTCAATTTCAAATGGCAAGAAAACATCTGCAAATGTTACATCGTGTCAAATTTAGGTTTTGCGGAACCTTGCATGTTCCTCACTCTCGTTTTTCTTCTTCGAGCTCCTTTACAGAATATAGACACTGGCATTCTGAGCAGAAAATGGAATGGGAAAACAGCGGGCTATATTTTTCTCTACTGCCTCCCTGTGTTTGTTCTTCAACTTATACTTATTTTGATTGCACCAGATTTACGGAAGGATAGAAGAGAATTATCACCATATTTCCCAAGGGTAGTTGTTCGAGTGATGCAAAATTCTGATGACATCGCCCTTTGCACTTACCCTTTATTGAATACTATTCTTCTAGGACTTTTTGCTACCATCTTGACCATCTACTTGTTTTGGCTTGGGAGGCGGATTTTGCAATTGGTTATCAATAGGGGTTTGAGGAGGAGAGTGTACACATTAATTTTCTCGGTCTTGAGTTTACTTCAATTAAGGGTTGTTTTACTTGGACTATCTGTTTTATCTAAACCAGAACAATTTCTGTTTGAAGCTCTTGCCTTCTCAGCTTTTCTTGCTCAACTATGTTGTGCTGGTTTCTGCATTTGCATACTTGTCTGCTACCCGGTTAAGGACTGTCTAGCCCTGAGGAACCTTCATGACTTGGAGGCTAGGCGAAGGGCTTTTCTCGATGTTCAAAATGACTCTGTTTCTCTCATCCCTAATCAGAGCCACCCCGAAGGAAGTTCCGGAATTAGCAGCGAGATGAGTTTTGATGCCTCTACCTCAACTGGGGCATTCGTGCAACTGACCCGCTTCTCTCCTAGCTGAGAATGCGATCCCACCAGCACCGCCACTTTGTGGCCATGGATCATCAAGCAAGTAAACAAGAAGAAACCGAGCAGTTTGCGAAGAAGATCAATTTTGTGTCTAAGAAAGTAAGCAAGAAGAAACCGAGTAGTTTTTCTTTTTCTTCTTAATTCAGATATGATGGTTTTGCTGGATGCAAGCTATAACTCGAATCCCATTTTGTAACACTATTTTTAACATGCATCCATTGTGTTCAAATTTACAAATTCTTTTGCTATGTTGGAAATTTTGAGTTGATAGCTGGTATGGTAAATTTACAAATGTGTTGAAAAATATTCGTAACGGACTGCTGTTGTCTTGGAGAAATGATAATTATGAGCTGCAGTATTGTTACTTAAGTTATGCTTTGAACTATCAAAAGAGCAAATAAACGATTAAAGAATATTCTTTTTATTATGCTTGCTGGTGAACTGTCCGACATGCCACTGCCAACTTGTTTGAAATTGCTCGTCTCGATAATGAATATGGGACCAGGTCAATGTTAGTTACTTAGTTGTGTATTTAAAAATTTACATTATAAATTTGAAGTTAAGTTATCAATATAATATATAACCAAAATATTAAGTATTAAATTATATAAAAATTTAAAATTTTTAGATTGAATTTCATTATTCCTTGATCCCTTCTTGTTAAAACTGTTGTATGTATTCTCGTGAACAGAGTAAATTTCAGGTTTAGAACGTATTTTTCTTGGTTTTTGTTTTTTTATATTAATTTTAAATTCAATAATTTTTTAATGATATCATAATTTGAGATTATGATGTGTGATCATTCTTAGAATATCGTTGAAATAACATAAAATTTTGGTTAAAGGATTAATATAAACTAAAAGTCTAACAATGGGATGAATCAATTTACCTTAATGGTTAAAAGAATAATTGTTATTTCTAGAGGTTACGGGTTCGAACACTAACAACTGCAACAGAGTGATTGAACGTTCATTGTTAAATGATTAAAAATTATTTAGAATATATATTACTTTATAATCACTTTAACTTGATGAAAAACGAAACGGCTCTGGACCATTCAAATGTTTCATACTCGATTTCCAATTGTACACACCATAATTGATATTGTAAGTAATATTGATTTTAGAATGCAATTAAAAAAAATTTATGGTAAAAAATTTAACTCCTTCATGAAAAGAGAATATTAGGAAAATTATTTTTTCAATTTAGCTGTTGAATTATATTTTATTTTGGTATTAAATAATTTTTTTTATCACTTTTAATATTCAAATTATTAATTTACCTAAAAATTAAGAGTTTATCACTTTTAATATTCAAATTATTAATTTACCTAAATAATTAAGAGTTTCTATATCGGTCAATAAAAATGTATCGTATGTTTGTCTTACAAATTATTAAGAGTTTATCACTTTTAATATTCAAATGATTAATTTACCTAAAAAAATAAAGAGTTTACCACTTTTAATATTCAAATTATTAATTTACCTAAAAAATTAAGAGTTTCTATATCTGTCAATAAAAATATATCATATGTTTGTCTTACAATATTATGAATGACACTAAATAATAATGTTTTTCAATTTACTTACAAAATGTAATACGTATTTGTTAGAAGAATATTTTTCGAAATAAATTTTTTAGATTGAAATTTACTTAAATAGTAAAAAAAATTAGACAAATTGATTGAAGGAGTATTAAAATGAAAAAAAAAACATTAATAGGTGGACGTAGTTTGGGTGCTAGATTGAGTATTAAGCCTAACAATAATACAATAGGCTAACAAAGATTGGGTGTTTTGGTCATTTCACCATTTAAATGTTGATTTGTCTTAACGTGTGGCGCCGGCGCGTGAATTTTGGAATCACATGCTTGCATTATTTAAATGCCGTATGCAAATGCCCTAACAAAAGCTCCACCGCTGATCCATCTGTATACCAAAACTTTGAAGAACAAGAAGGCTTTGATTAGTAAAGAAAAAACCCTCAATCGAAGTCAAAAGAAATGGCCTCATTCGAGCAAGCGCCGCCCGGTAATGCGAAAGCTGGGGAGAAGATCTTCAAGACCAAGTGCGCCCAGTGCCACACCGTAGAAAAAGGCGCTGGTCACAAACAAGGTCGATCTCTCTCTGCCTCTCTCAGATCTGATTTTGTTCTTCTTTGATTGAAATTATTCTTTTCTAAGTTCTTAATTTCGTGCTTTTAGGAACGAGTAATACAACGCTTTCTAATTTAATCCGTGTTGATATCTTTTAAATTTTTTGTAAGAATTATTTGGTTACTTTATTGTTCTCGGATTCATTAACTGTTTACTTCGTATACATAAATTAATCCATGTTTCTTTTAAATATAGATTTTTAGTTCCTAGGTTAGGTATGTTACTTAGGTTTGCACTGAAACAATGTGATCCACACTGATTTCTATGTTGATACAGATCTCTCCTTGATACAATTTTATGTTTTCATTTTTACTACCTTTTTGAAGTTTAGGGGAAAATATGTTCATATTGCAGGGCCAAACCTGAATGGGCTTTTTGGGAGGCAATCCGGCACAACTCCAGGGTACTCTTATTCCGCTGCTAACAAAAATATGGCTGTGAATTGGGGAGAGAACACATTGTATGATTACTTGCTTAATCCTAAGAAGGTATGTAGGAGCCTTTTTTTTTCAGTATAATTTTATCAATTTGCTTGCTATTGTAAGTTCATAGCTTCTCAATATATTCTGTGTCTGTGTGTGTTCATTGGATGGATGATGCCATGATTTTGAAATATAACATGAAACAGAGCTTCTGGGTTTCTTTATCAAACGCTGCGGCTTATCCTTTTGACTCTCATTTGGGACCATGTGTCATGAGGCTCAATTATTTGTTTGTAATATCCGCTAATCACGTGATTCAAAATAGCATGAAAAAGAGTATCTATTTTAGATAGGATTAGTGGCACTGTGTGCTATGTTCAAACCAACCTGAGAAACCGATGACATGGAAGCAGTTGATAGGGTTACCTTGTTGAATGCACAATGTTAATAATATCTTGTTACTGGTCGTCGTCCATTAGTGCCATAAATGACAGCTTAACTTAAGGCGCCCAATGGTTTATTCGTGGGAAAGCTTTTACTTTAACATGATATGTTCGAAGGATGAGCATAAATCGGGGTCTTAAGAAATCATCTAGTGATGCTATTGTTTTGCATCAAAAGGTAATTTCTTATGAGACTGGTAGTATAGTCACTGCTGCTAATTACTTGATTTCCATCATAGGTAAGCCATCTGGGTAGTTAATCTAATTTAAGGATGATATCTTTTTATACATATTCACGGTTGTTTATCGTTGCTTTAAATCAACTATTACCATGTTTGCATTTCGGTGGCCTTATGCTTTTGGTGTTATTAACTGGTCTTAGTTTAGGCACGTAGTAGATGTATCTATGCTAGGATAGCTGATTTGGCTTGATTTGAATCTTGGTTTTGCGAGAAAATACTCTCATATTCAGTCGACTATTGTTATTCGCCTTAAGCATAGAATTCATTGCTGAATTGTTACTGATTCAATTTGCTGGTTAAATTTGCTTGTGCAGTACATTCCTGGGACAAAGATGGTTTTCCCTGGATTGAAGAAGCCACAGGATCGTGCTGACCTTATTGCTTATCTGAAGGAATCAACTGCCTGATGGGTCTGCTTTATATCAGCTATTTTGGAACGAAGGAAGAGTTTTGCTCAATGATTTATTTATTTTTACATGATAATAAAATGACTAGGCAATTCTTGAAATGAAGAGAGAAAACAGTCAACAGCTCCAAGATAATCTGGGTTTTGGAGTTGAAAGATTTCGAGTATTATCAACCTCAATAAAAGGTGAGGCTTCTTGAAGTTTTCATGAAACATTGAAGATTTATTCGAGCCCCAACAGTTTGTTATGATATCTTAATTCTTTATGAGATTTGGATGATGGATAATCGGTGGATTTATGTGTGGGTGTAGTGCAAATATTGGCTTAGGCGTTGATGAATGCTTTTCAATTTGGTTTTTAGGTTTCCTACAATAAGTAACAATTGATACATCTACAACACTCAAACGGTGATACCGAGTATAGGGATATACGAATGATTTTAGATTTGTAATATTTTAGAGGATAAATTTATAAAACTTTAGGAATTTAAAAACGAATTATTGTTTAGAAAATAAAAATATATTAAAAATATAAAAATTTAAAATCTCAAGAGTCAATCGTCCCTTCTATGTTTTTATTTGTAGTTGTCATCTTGCATCTATAATTTCTAAAACCTATTTAAAAGAAAATTTTGTTTTAATAATACAAAAACTATAAAATCAAGATTGAGTTTGTGTTCTTTTGGAGTGGTTCCAAAACATAGTTTGGGGTGACTCAAATCTAGGTTTGTGCAAAATTATCCGACTCGACGACCCATACTTAAAAAAATTAGGTAATTTTTTTAAAAAAATTTACCCGGTCGAGTCGGGCTCGGGTCACAAAATTGAAGTTTTCTGGGTACCGGTTACTCGAGTACCCGGTTAGTTTATATACATATATATATATATATATATATATATATATATATATAATGAATTATTTATATTATGGATTATTAGATTTTGTATTTCGAACTTTTAAATTTTATGTTCGGATGTTGAAGTATGTAATTTGAAGTTTCAAACATTTAAATTTGTGTATATATTTTTTTAAATTAATAATTTGAAAATGAAAAAAAAACAAGTGCCAAATACTCAAAATACGGATACCTGAAAAATCCGAGTACCCGATAACATCCGAGTCGAAACATAAGTTGAAAAATCACCGACACAAATATTACGGGTACTCGGTAATCTAATACCCAAAAACTCGAATACCCGAATTTGCACACCCCTAATCAAATCCAATCTCCCTGATTAGCTCTTGCTAAAATATCGGCTACCTTATTCTAGTTCCTTCCTAATGTCAAATCAATCTTGTTTAGTAACTTAGACAGCTTTAGCTATCGAGTTCCTTTGTAGTATCCTAGTACCGTCTTTAATCGTTGTGATTCTATTCATGCAATCAGTTTCCAATATCAATTTTATACACACATGTTTAAGAACCTCGTGGACAGAACTAAACTTCTGTCATAACCTTCCCAGACTACGTGTGAAATCATAAATCCATGGTCCTTATATAACTCAATATGAAATAAAAAGGACTCGTTTTCCATTCCAATCATTGATGAAGAGCTTGTTATTGGGAAAATATATATTCAAACATAAGATACAGCTCGCACGATTGATCACTTAATATAGAAAATAAAACACAATATCAAAGTATGTGTTTATTTTATACAATGACGGTCCAACCAATTCTTCATAAAACCACTTGCTAATTTTTAATTATCACCATACATATGCCTTCTTCTTACACGCAGTAGCAATAATAAAGAATATGCAGGCTGAATAAATGAAACTCAAAAGGAAGATAGCCAGGCAGGCAGTTGAATGAATCAATACATATTACATACACCAATGCGATAATTGATTCTTCTTCCCATTCTTTTGTCCTCTTGTCATCTTCATAAAGGAATCTTAATTAATTTTCTAATAATGGACTTGCCTTTGTTTCTTTCTGCATTTTCTCTCTCTCTCTCTCTCTCTCTCTCTGTCGGAGGGGAACCAATGGAAGAAGCAAGTCACATTTAGTGTTGCAAACGAGATAACTTGAAATTTAAAGTTGAATTTGAATTGATTTGAAAATTTATAGGCTTAAATTGTTATATTCGAATCGAACTCAAAATAAGAATTAAAACTTGATTTGAGTTTAAAAACTTTAAACATTTTTAAGTTTAATTCGATTGAAGCTCGAGCTCAAATCTTTAAGTACGTGAAACTCTTCTATTATATTTTTTAAAAAACCAATATATAAATGTTAATATTATTAATAATTTGTTTTGAAAATTAAGAATTTAATATATTATTCAACTTAAATATTAACCAAATTTGAATTAAATCAAAGTCATGACTTCATTTACAAACATAGTGAAATTGCACCAGTCAACCAGTATTTATTTTATTTTCTAAGAAGATGACACGCACGCATTGAAGTGAATGTGGTGGCAATATGCATATTTGATTATTCCACATTCTTCCCTCAATTGATGGCCAGTATATTTAATTTCTGACACAGCTCATTCATACTCCTACATTTCAACGCATCAGATCTGGTGCTGTGTTGCTTTCTTTGTTTTTCTCTAACGACAGTTTTAGAATATTAATTTCTCTCCTCTATATGTGAGCTCGTCTTCTTCAGTTCTCTCATTGTACCAGTTTCAGTTCAGTTCAGTTCCCGATGTTGCTGTCAAAGAAACAACCTTCTTCTGCAACCCAATGGACAGAGAAAGTCAAATACCAAAAACACAGAGAACCCTACTTCAAGTTCTCTCTCAATAATCCACAGTTTCGATACGCTGCCTTCCTTTTCGTGTTTCTTTCTTTGTGGTTTCTATTACAAGTCTTTTGGTTCCCACCAACAAGAGCCACGCGCCACCAAACGACGGCGAAGTCTTCGCCTGGGAAATGCGGCGGAGATGTTTCGGTTTATGTGTATGATTTGCCGGCGGAGTTTAACTTCGGCCTCCTCCATGACTGCAGCCATTTGAATGTTTATACCAATATGTGTCCACATGTGGCTAACAACGGTTTAGGGCGGCCTCTGGAAAATATGGACCTTGGGTCCAGTGAGTCCAGTCCCTGGTTCGCCACTCACCAGTTTATAGCAGAGATGATTTTCCACGCACGTGTGGAGAACCACCCGTGTCGGACCTGGGATCCGGCGACGGCCAATCTGTTTTACGTGCCTTTCTACGGCGGTCTGCATGTGTCCAGCAAGTTCCGGGAGCAGAACCACACCGTTCGTGACGCTTTAGCCGTGAGATTGGTGGATTATCTCCGGGAACAACCGCCGTGGCGGAAGAACAACGGCAGGGATCACTTCATCGCCCTAGGGAGAACCTCATGGGATTTCATGAGAACCGACAATGGACCCGATTTTGGAGCAAACTCTCTTCTCAATTCGCCATTTGTGAAAAACATGTCGGTGTTGACCGTTGAGAGGAATCCATGGAAAGGTTCAAACCAACACGGCATCCCCTACCCTTCATACTTCCACCCCTCCACGTCGGGCCAAATGCTGACGTGGCAGAGGATGGTACGGCGGTCAAACCGGCCCCACCTGTTTTCCTTCATCGGAGCACCGCGTAAGGGAGTAGGTAAAGCCGCCATTAGAGACGAAATGATAAAGCAATGCATGGAGTCCACAAGGTGCAAGCTGCTCAAATGCGAGAACGGGAACCCCAAGTGCTACAACCCTAGCGAGATTCTGAAAGTGATGAGAGAATCCCAGTTTTGCTTGCAAGCGCCGGGGGATTCTTTCACCCGACGGTCGACGTTCGACGCCATCCTCTCGGGTTGTATCCCGGTGTTCTTTTCGCGGCACACGGCGTATACGCAATACGCTTGGTTTTTGCCCGAGGAGGCCACGGAGTACTCGGTTTATATGGAGGAGCAAGGCGATGAAAGCAAGATAATCGAAGAGGTGCTGATGAAGATACCGAAAGAAGAAGTGGAGAGGATGAGAGCTACGGTGATCGATATGATTCCAAGGATCACATACGCACACCCAAATGCGAGTAATAGCGATCTTGGTTTTCAGGATGCCGTGGACGTTGCGCTTCAAGGCTTGGCACGCCATGTAAGGAACATAATACTATGAGATACATAATATGAAAGGGATAAAAACAATAAATTTCAAAGAAGAAGAAGAAGAGAGCATGTTTAGAGGTAGTTGATGTGAATTCATTTCAGTTGGGACATAGTTCATGGTTTTATGAATGATTCGCTTTACATTTGTATTTACATTGCACTTGCATTATATAGTACACCAACAATACAAGACTACAAGAGTCCATGTACCATATCTTTCAAAGGATGCTTCTCTATTGACAATTGGTGATGGAAATAATTTATCTACGGTTGATAATTTGTTCCTTTTAATCTGATCGGTACTCATATGTAGAAAATAGAGAAGTAGCGTAGGAGAAAAGATGAGTGACGTATATATAGACAGATCCCCTTTTAAGTCATAGTTAAGATTATTTACAATAATTCTAACTAATGATGTCTATAGGATAATAATAGTTATTCGTAGATTGACAAGTTGAATAGATCTGATAATCAAGTCTTAGATTTTGTTCTTATAAATTATGTGGGCCTATGAGAGGTATTATTTATGTAATATGTGTAGACACCCGTTTTTGTTTGGTCTAAAAAAATATTATTATTATTATTTACATATTTTATATTGTTATTTTGTAGGCCCAACAAGTGACCCGATTTAAGCCTAACATCCAGGCCAACCCCAAACCACAACACTCAACAGCCCATATTACATACCAAGCCCAAAAGGAATACAAACCCAATAGAAGCCCAAGTTTGGATTACCCCGACCCAACCCAAGCATTACTCGAACCAGCCCATTTGTAACCCAAACCAATTAGGGTTTCTAAACCCTAATCAGTAGCCGCCGCTACCAATGTTTCAACTCTCATTAGCGCGTAAAATCTATCGTTCGTTTCATCCGCCGCGTGAGACGTCGCTAAACGTTTCCTGCCTGATGTTATCATCAACAGTGACAAAAACGCATCAATCAGTCACAAAAACAAATCAAAGTCAGAGCAAATACAAAAGAAATATGAAAAAAAATCTTACTTCTATCAATCAAGGGAGATAGGATAATGATATCATATCTCCTCAGCAGCAGATCCATCACACATGCAAAGGATAAAAGATCAGAGAAGGAAACAGAGAGAAAGGGACAGAGAACAAGAATTAGGAAGGGAGATAGAAACACAGAGACCATTCGAAACAAAAGAAAAAAAACAAAGAGAGAGTATTAGGGGATTCGGGAACTGAAAAAATC